TCGATCATATCTTTTAGAACAATTCATTTTTATTGACTCCGGCATAATCGTTGCCCATTTTGGACTAGATAACTCAGGTTTAATGAAAAAGAGACTGTGGATTCACCCTATAAGTCTAAGGATAGTGAGAGTACCCTAAGAACTCATTGTGATAGATTCCTTCATTATTTGATCTCTTGGTGGTTTAGACCATCCGGAGGTAGGTACTCCTCCCTTATAAACATAGATATATGGTGGATATACTGTGTCCAACATAAAAAGAAGATTAATCTGCCACAGATCATCTTTAGTGAGTTTCCATAAACTCTATTCCTTCTAAGAATATAGAAACCTTGGTTTATGGTTGTCTCCTTAGTAATTTGTTTATCAAACTCGGTCTTAGGGTCTCTTCTGATATTCCTATCCCTCTTCAAAACCAAATCAATCTTACTTTCTTAAAGAAAGCAAGATGGAAAAAGGATAAGGAAACGGGCCAATGGATTTATCATCCTGAACTCAGAACTTTGAATTGTGAAACATTTTGATGTTAATGGATTGTTTTATTTTGGATGTTTGAATTTGTTGAATAATTGGATATTTGAACTTACATGCTTATATATTTGGTTTGATTTTAACTTTCATTTTGAGCTTAATGTTTATTTTTGCATCATTTACATATTAGTTGCATTATGACCAATTTTTGTCATTTCACATTATTTATGAATATTGAATTATGGAACTAATGGCTAACGTTTCTCTTGATTGTGATCTTAGCAGCTTAAGCTATATATATTTATAATCAATTGGCTAAATGATTTCAAAACCTTGTTTAAAATCTTTTAAAATGTCTTTTTGATTTAACAAAAAGGGGGAGAAGTGTTAAAGTAAGGGGGAGTAATTTTTCAAAAACGTCGTTTTTTATTTCAAAATCTTAAAATTACTAAAATGTTTTGTTATATCAAAAAGGGGGAGATTGTTGAAAACATTTTGATATTTCGATATAACAAATTAAGATAAATGAATTTTAAGATTTTCCAATAAGGTTTTCTAAGTATATTCGATATAATTATTCGAATATCAAAATATTACTCCAAATCTTTTAAAAGTCATTTTTAATCCTTACTCAAGTGTAAAATTAAGTTTTAGTCTTAAAATAATTTCAAAACAATTTTACAAAATATTTCGAACCATTTCAAAGCCAAAAATTCCAGATTGTTCAGAGGGAACCGATTCCCCCCAAGGGGGTACCGATTCCCCCTGAATGGTTTGGCTTCGAGAATTCCAGTATGCTCGGAGGGAACCGATTCCCCCCAGCGGTACCGATTCCCCCTTTTTAACGGTCGAAATATTTGAATTTTACACTTAGGGAACCGATTCACCATAAGGGGTACCGATTCCCCCCACGCTCCAAGTTGTTGTATTAATGGTTTTCACACTTAAACGACTCCATTGACTCCACTAATCATCCCCAACGTTCAGAATCAATTGAGGGAGTATTTAAACAAGTTCTGAAGCCTTTGATCAATAAAAAATCATAGAGAAACAAGAAAGAAAGCATCAAACACTAAGTTTGTGCAAATCAAGCCAATTTTTCTTTCAATATTCATTTTGCTTTCAAGAACACCATTTGTGCTCATTTGTAATTATTTTTTAGTGTTCTTTTCTTGTTCTAGAATTGTGCAAACATCTTACCTTGTGAGGTTTTCCTTGTAAGTTTGCAAATTTGTGTATTTCTCTTTGAAAAAGAGTGTGCTCAAGAATTTGGGGTATAATTCTTGAGGGAATTGTAAGGTTATTCTTTATCCTCAAAAGAAAGAACAAATTAGTGAATTTGTTGGAAAATCCTTAGTGTGGATAGCTAAGGTAGTGGACGTAGACTTTGGTTGAGAAAGTCGAACCACTCTAAATCGTTGTGCAAATATTTTCAATTTTCTGCAAAAGCTTCCACCAAAATTTTAATTGCCAATTCACCCCCCTCTTGGCCATTTCCATCAATCGATTAACTCAACAACTTCCTCACTATGGTATTGATAATATACTTCAGTATCGTTACCCATTCTACATTCTGAATTTCATTTCTAAAAATCGTACCGATACTTATCCATTGGTATCAATACCCTTAGTATCGATGCTACTCCTTCGGTATCGATACTATTTAAAGGATTCATACATTTTTACCTTATGGTATCGATACTGTTCTTCCAGTACCGATACCCAAACTCATATTTCACACCATTTTTGCTTTGAAGTATCGATACTGTTCATCCAGTACCGATACCCTTGCCCAGAAATCACCTTTTTCATTTCAAAAATTTACCAAAACTCAGTTAAAACTCACTTTTAACTCCTTTCAGCCCTTTAAACTACAATACACTTATTAAAACTAACCTGTCTCACTTTAATACTCCTCAACACCCAAATCTCATTAGAACACTTGGAAACAAAAATCACACCAAATAATCAACATACCCCAAATCCATTTCTAACACTTTAGATTTCTTATTCCAACTTATGACAAGTCAAATATGATTTCAAAATCTATTTATTAATTCTTTCTCTTCAATTCACTCAAAACCCCTTTATATTCAATCACCCATAACTTGTAAATCTTTTAGTTTCTATTTCTCTTTAAGCTTTCTTAAGCTTTCCTAACACTCTAAGAATCAAAACTAATCAAAATTTACAAGAAATAACAAACTTAAAGATGTCTTATCTTAACTATGGACTCACAGTGGAGAGGAGGAAGAAAGATGAAGAGGAGAAATAAGTCTCTTCTTTCCTTTTCTCTCATCCTCCACATGTATATAATACACCCACTAATGAATTTTTAATTCATTTCTTTGTCTAATGACCATTATGCCCTTCCATCTTTCAATTCTTGCTAATCAACTTACACCATTAATTTCTAATTAAATCTCTGAACTTTTCAATTGATCACAAATATTAATTTGTAATCACTTTAAACTATTTAAAATATATATATATATTTTAAAGACACCTTGATACTAAATATTAGTCTAATAACATCCTAACATACTAAATTCAAATAAAAATATTTAAACTATCAATTAATTCGTTGCCCAAGAAATGCCGCGATGCATGCGACAATTTCAGATATCTTTCCTATTCAAGTCAAAAACAGTTTCCATAAAACAATTAATTCCATTAGTCCAATTGCTATTAGATTCAACACTAAACAACCCTTAACCTCCTCAAAAGGGAAAGCAATAACAGATAAAAAGTTGTACTTTTTTAATAGGACCCGTAAGGTATTGCAATTTTAATATACGATTAAAAAAAAGTTGTTTTTAAGGTAATAATACTGCATTGATAATTGTAATAGATAATTCTATTAAGTATTCTGACTTTCCTTCTCATAACTCAAAAGACTTAAAATAAATAAATAAATCTTTAAATTATATATATTCACTTTAATTATTAAAACTATTTTTTATCAAAACAAATCTTAAGTAATCATATATATATATATACATTTTAAGAATTTAAATTATCATTTTTGTAATATTTTAAGTCTTATTTTTTAATTGATTTTTTGTAATCAACGAAATGTTGACGCGTCAAAAAAACTATAATTTAAAATATATTTATTTTTATTAAAAGATAGATTTTTTTTTACTTTAAGCCTACTCAAAATAACAAAATGAAATATATAAAAGGATTACCATGTGTATTGATAGTATTTTTTTTCAAATAATATTAAATGGACGATACATATTTTATTTTTAAAATATTTAAATTTATAATAATGATACTCAGTTTAATTTTTATTATTTATGAAAATAATTTTTAAGGTAAAGTACAAAAATGTTCCTTTGACTATAGGATGATGTTTTATTGAGTCTCTCAACAATTGAAAGTTATAAAATAGTCCTCAGGGCACTGCTTTGTTGAGTCTCCCGACTATTAAAAGTTATAAAATTGTCACTTGACTATTCATATGTTCAAAACTCATCTTTTTTTTTGTTAAAAATTTAACGGTCGTTTGATTTAGACATTAATATGCTGATTGAGATATGATAAAATCGTACTTTAATGATGTCTATTAGCACCGTCATTGGTTTTAAGCACTGATTTGGTGGTATAATGTTTCAAAAACTGACTCAATGACATAATGTAAACAGAGATTCGATCTATAAGACAAAACTCAAATAATTCTAGAACTATATTTTTATCTTATCTCAGTGAACATATTAACGTCCGGTTGAGACATAGTCTCATTTTTTAACGAAAAAAATAAATTTGGAACATATGAATAGTCGGTGATTATTTTATAACTTTTAATAATTAAAATGACTCAACAAAAAAGTCTTATGATAGGATGATCATTTTATAACTTTCAATTGTTAAGAAAGTCAACTAAATAATATCAATAATCGAGAGATCAATAATGTATTTTAACCTAATTTTTATTAACAGTACATTAAATAATTATCAAAATACAGCATAAAATAAGAGATAATCGGCCTTTTTACGGCAGAGACAACAGCAAATCAAATCAAACCGCCTAAATTATAAAACACAATGCAAAGTGCGAACTGTTTCTTCATTAACAAAAAGGCAAAAACGTCACGTGATGCCGTTACTCACAGCCTACCAGTATACAACTGTCCAATCCAATCGCTGCTCACTCAAAACAAAACCAAAGGACAATCTGGTAATTTCGATTTTGCTTTTTCCTGATGAAAATATAAACTTAAATCTTCTCATTGGTCCGCCATTTCTCCCCCACACCCCCTCTTCCCCTCCCCAAGAGTCAAAGCCCAAAGTCAAGTTTGTATTATAACGGAGCCTTCCTTTCATGTCAGTTGAGTGTTTGTTTTTTTAATCACGAAAACCCGCGGGGTTCCCCATAGCCCTCTTTGGCTATCCTACACTTTGATGTGCAATGCGCACCCCCTCCTCCTCCTATCTACGGGCCGCTTTCTCCTTCCTTGCCATTCTTACGTGTGCGCCTATTACAGGACGTGTGCCTCCACGCTCGTTAGCCTCAACCCCTTTTCCCTTCTGCTCTCTTCCTTCTCCTGTAATTTAGTCTCGAATTTCGACATTTCATTCTACGTCCCATACTTTCTTGCTGTACTCTGCAATCAAATATATTAAAAACGTCTTATTCCTTTTTCTTTCTCTCTTTCTTTTTACTTCCAAAACCGTTTGTTCCCATGGGTTTGCCTTGATTTGCGCCAATGTTGCAATACTAAAAGCCAAACCGACTTTACGTTGTTTTATGTTTGTTCATTGATATTCTTCGTTCCCCCCCCCCTTTGTTCAGAGCTTGTTCTCGTGATCCTTTGATAATTTGCAGGAGTTGGACGGAATGACCAACTAGTTTGGGTGGGGAGAGTTGATCATACGTGCCGGCGGGAAGGAAGGAAGGGAAGAAGAGTGAGAGAGAGAGAGATAAAGTGATATTGTGAACGTCGTGTGAAAATATGCCTCATCGAACAACGTACTTCTTCCCTAGGCAATTTCCCGATCGTGGGTTCGATGCGTCTACTAAGCAACTATTGAATCAGGAGAAAAAGCTTGCCGCCAATGAAACATTCCCCACAGCTACAGCTGCTGCGTTTGGAACCGCGACTTCAACAGCAACAACACCAGCCATAAGCAACTTCAACGCTGAAAATGACCGCAACAACTCAATCTCAGGGACAGCGTCAAAAGATTTTAGGACGCCAGCTGCTAAGACCGACAACGACAACTACAGCTACTCTCCGTTATCAGATCTTTTCACAGACGAAAAGCTTCGCGTCAAAAAACAACAGCTCGCCGCTTTCCTCGATTGGTTCGTCGACAAAAAATCTACTACTAACAGATCACGTCACGTGAAACCGTCCTCTCGACGCCTCTCTTCGAGTACCGATCATGATGAAGATCAACAGTTGTTATTAGCTCCGGAACCAGCTCCGCCGCCACAGCCTTCACCTCCTCCTCCGGCACCTGCTCCGGAAACCAGCGCCGTCATTGATGACCGCAGTGTTGACAGAAACTTTAACCGGCAGGTGTCACTTACGAGGTTCTCTAGTGGTAGTAGCTATGCTGGGAGCTTGTTTTCTGGGACGACATTGGATGGAACCTTGTCGAGCGACGTTAAAGATACTTGGACTAAGGAGACATCATCGACCCCCGTGCCGGAGATGGAGGAAGTCGAGGAACAAGAGGTGGAGAAGAGTAAAGATGACTTAGCGCTCAAGTCAAAGGAAAGTTATTATTTACAGGTTATGCTGGCTAGAAGGCTTACCTCTCAAGCAAGTCTATTCGGTGAATCTTTGCTTTTGCAGGAGTATCGTGGACCTGTTGTTGTCGATGCAGAAACTGTTTCTTATCGTCTATGGGTATTTTCTCTATTTTTTTCGATTGACATTTATTTTTGTACATGTTTCACTTGCAAGTTAGTAACTTAGTATTCATTTTCAAAATTTGCGAAACTCTAATGGATTTATATTGAATTTGCAGATTAGTGGCTGTTTATCATACAATGATAAGATATCAGATGGTTTTTATAATATTATTGGGATGAATCCATATCTATGGGTGATGTGTAACAAATTCGAAGAAGGAAGACGCTTACCACCTTTGATGTCTCTTAAAGAAATTGAACCCAGCGAGACGTCTATTGAGGTTGTTCTTGTTGACAAACGAGGGGATTCGCGCCTAAAAGAGCTTGAAGATAAAGCCCAAGAGTTATACTGTGCTTCAGAAAACACCTTAGTGTTGGTCAAGAAACTTGGAAAGCTTGTTGCTATATACATGGGGTAGGCTTTATTCTCTTTTAAATCTATTTTCACTGATGATTCATTTCCTTTTCACCGTTTCTTATCAAATTATTCATTGTGTTCGAATTGTTTTTTATATTTTAGAGGAACATTTCCAGGGGAGCAAGGAGATCTTCACAAACGCTGGAAATTGGTCAGTAGGAGATTGAGGGACTTTCATAAGTGTGTTGTACTCCCCATTGGCAGCCTATCAATGGGACTTTGCAGGCATCGTGCAATCCTCTTTAAGGTGCCGAAAGATTAGCCTTTATTACTTTATTTTCTCATCAAATTCAATCTACTCCTGTGATCCATCCACTGGCACGCAGAAAATGAAAATCGGTAGTGGTGGCTAAGGAATCTGCTACTTTTTTATTGGCATAAACAATAACAATAATAAAAAATGCCATTTCCTTGTCACTTCATTGATATAATCCCGATTTGCTGACAGTGTATCTCTATGCACTATTAGTGTATCTAATATATATCCACTAATGACTAATCAAAACCCATAAACTTGAATGTTAAAATATATGCGCCACAACAACAAAGATATGTTTGTTTCTTTTATTCCATCTCTTCTTTCTCCAGAAATATACTCCTATGAATGAAAGGCGTTTTGTTTATATATATTTTGTTAATTTGTACATGATTTTGGATTGCCATTTTATTTTTCATTTTGATCCAAAGTAATTAGTGTTTCAGAAGTTACTAATATATTGGAAATGCCCTCTTATATAAGGTTTTGCTAACAAGGACTGAGAGTTCCTTGAGCACCATAAATTTTAAAAGCCACATATAAGTGTCCATTAAATGAGCACTCTCTGTTCACGGATCATTCAATGAGGTATTGTAGCTTGCTATGTTGAATTTGACAAGGCCTTTTTGAAATATTTGATTCTTGGGGTCTCCGTTTTCGTGTCTTCACTTTGTCCCCCTTCTCAAATCTGTTGTTATATAATGAACTTCTAAAGCTTTTAAATATTTTCTCTTTTTCAAAATTCAAAAGATTTCAAAGTTGTTGTTTAATAACCTTCTGGCCAAACATGGCTCATCTTATTCTTGATTAAAAAGATTGTCTTCACTTTATAACCGCCAGACCAGGATATCAAATGAAAAATGAGCGTTTGATTTTATAATGTTGATGTGTGAAATGTATTTGTATTCTTAAGGCCTGATCACCCTTTAAATGCAGATTAACATATGATGACCTAGGAGAAAATGAGTCGTTTTTGGGATCCTTAACTAACATAGTGTATTGTTCAAACCTGCAGAAATTGGCGGACTATATCGGTTTGCCCTGTAGGATTGCTCGAGGATGCAAATATTGTGCAGCCGATCATCGTTCTTCTTGCCTTGTCAAAATCGAAGATGACCGGCAATCACCGAGGTAAGTTGTGCAACTTTTAGTTCACATATTTGCAATTAAATTGTTTGAATTTAATAAAATAAACGGGGACAAGTTTATGCCATCGTTTAAAAATACTTGCATTGAGAAAATTAGCGATTCTTTGATCTTCAAAATTTTCTAGTTCTGTTTTGATGCATTGTTGCTTAGAGACGAATACACTGTTTTGCAGGGAATATGTAGTTGATCTAGTTGGGGAGCCAGGGAATATCCACGGTCCAGATTCATCTATCAATGGAGGATTCCTTTCGTCAATGCCTTCACCATTTCAAATTTCTCATCTAAAAGAATTCCAACAGCCTCATATGGATAGTGCCTCGCATTGTCAGATTAAAAATCCAAAGGATTCACTTTCTCTTTGTGAGAATCCTATACTTTCAGGTGCGTGATATTTTGTACACAAATTCAGGGGGAAAAATGGACCAAAATTGTTTAACCAAACTAAAACAGTGGAGACTGATCTCCTGCAGGTGGCAATGAGAAATCTCAAGAATTGAAGGGCAGCGACTTGCTTGAAAGTCAAAAGGCATCAATATATGCACCGATTTCTCAAGGTTGTTTTGGAAAGGAATCTTTGCTGACTTCTGAAACTGCAGCTGTTACAACAATGCCCGAAAATTCTGAACTCAGTAGAGACAAAGTTGCCTTAGATCAAACTCTTAGAAAAGAGATTGTTATACCTGGTAGCTCAGTGGTGAAAAGTGTAAATCAGTTGAAAGTTACCTCGCCAAGTCAGGTAGATCTGGAGGAGATCGGGGTTGAACTTGATAACCGGGGTAGATTCTCTGCTGTCACCATCCCAAAATTTATAAATCTTGAACCTTCTCTTGCGATGGATTGGCTTGAGATATCATGGGATGAATTGCATATTAAGGAGCGCGTTGGTGCTGGTAATTCTCTTACTTTTTCGTTATAGGATATAACTCATACATATTTACTTTTCTTTATGCATTTGGAAAATTGAATCATATCTCAAAAAATAAATGATGAAGCATGTACCAACTTTTTTGCTTAAACTCTCCTTTTGCAGGTTCATTTGGAACAGTTCATCGTGCTGAGTGGCATGGATCGGTTAGTATTTTTTTGTTCTTGCAACTGAAAATCATTGGTTTCCTGATTTATTGGAATATGAATGATTCTGATAGAAATATGTCTTCATTTGATACTGTAATTGAATAATAAATGAGCTTACGGGATTGTACTTAAGGTGCCATAGTTGATATATCATTTGTTGTTGCATGTGTGTAATGGTATACAAGTTTATTTTTCTTTATCATAGACCAATATTAGTTGAAATGCATAGTATGGGCTTATATCTCAGCAAGGGAGAACAGTTGTTTTTCTTTAGTTTGTTTCTTTGTTTGGCTACATTATCAGTTTTTTTTTTGGATATTTTTCTTTTGTCCTAATGAGTTATTGGCTTAAACTAATAAACTATTGTTCTCCAAATGCAGGATGTTGCGGTCAAAGTTTTGACTGTCCAAGATTTTCATGATGATCAGTTGAAGGAGTTTCTAAGAGAGGTTTGTACTGGATAAAACCTAAATAAGATATTGTTATTATCCGTATGTTTTAGCATTGCATATTTCTATTAACTGGTTCCGCTTTCCTGCCGCATTAAAACTCTATAAATGGCTTGTATATGCATTCAATGTCCTCCTCAGGGACATCCATTTCTGTGCCTTAATGCATGAATTTATGCTTGAAACTGTGTCCGTGTGATACATTTCTAAAGGAGCTGATGGCATGTTGTTTATTTTCACACATGGCCAAGTTCTCACGTAAATTACTCCTATTTTCGAATGTTTTTGAGCAAATATAGTATACAAATACACAGCTTAAGTTATCAATGCATTTTGTTTAGGTTGCTATAATGAAACGCGTTCGACATCCAAATGTGGTCCTCTTCATGGGAGCTGTTACGAAGCGGCCTCATCTGTCAATAGTGACCGAGTATCTGCCAAGGTAAAATCAACTTATTTCACATTATGATAATGAACTGATATGTTTGTGCAACTAATGTGCCTTATAAGACGTGGTTCTTTTTTGTCAAACAGGGGTAGTTTATACCGCCTCATTCATAGGCCAGCTGCTGGGGAAACAATGGATCAGAGGAGACGATTGCGCATGGCATTGGATGTGGTTTGTAACATTCTTTACTCACAATTTTTATCTATTAATGAAACTTGATGTTGGGACAGTATTAATGTTTTATATTGGAAACAGGCCAAGGGGATCAACTATCTTCATTGTCTTCATCCTCCCATTGTTCACTGGGACCTTAAATCCCCGAATCTGTTGGTCGATAAGAATTGGACAGTAAAGGTACGACAAAAGAGTTTCTCAATTTGCCAAATTATGCGTTATTTTTACATTTCAAAGCATGACTTCATCTTCTTATGTGATTTCTAGGTGTGTGATTTTGGATTGTCCAGATTCAAAGCGGGCACTTTTATATCATCAAAATCTGTCGCGGGAACAGTAAGTTTCCATAACTTCCTCTTGTACTGGAGACAAACTAGCACATTCACACATCAATAATGCATAGATACCATAAAAGTTCCGACATTAATGCATAGATACCAAAAAGGTTCAGACTCGTATATGCATTCTATTTAACCCGTCGTCAGTCTATTGTGGTTTGAGAATTTTTCATCCGACTGCATCAATCAGCGTGTAATCATGTAGTTAATTTCTTTCAGCCTGAGTGGATGGCTCCGGAATTCCTTCGTGGAGAGCCTTCAAATGAAAAATCCGATGTCTACAGTTTTGGAGTAATCCTATGGGAGCTTGTGACCATGCAACAACCTTGGAGTGGACTCAGTCCTGCCCAGGTGAATGAATATATTCGTTTTTTTCCTCAGTTCCATTCTAGTTCCTCTTGTGTGTTTCTTATGAAATGTAATAATCATAAGTATTTATGAGATTGTTATTCGAGTTGTTTCGAATAAATGGTAACGTTGCTAATTGTGGTACGTAAAAACTTTAGGTGGTCGGTGCTGTTGCTTTCCAAAACAGAAGACTCACCATTCCACCGAATACCTCTCCAAAATTGGCTTCCCTAATGGAATCATGTTGGTCTGAGTGAGTAAACTAAGTCCCATGATTTATCCACTGCACCTAGAATTCATATTATGATCGTCCTTTAAAGATTGACATGTAGTGGATCATGCAACCAGTTTGCTTTGGAAATTTAACTTCCGTAGTTAACAATGATGGTGTTGCTTTTTATTTTTTGCAGCGATCTGACTCAACGGCCATCTTTCGCCAACATAGTAGAAGCACTAAAGAAGCTTCTCAAGTCTCCATTACAGTGACAGAGTGACCCTTAACCCAAGCCATTCCCACGGTGAAAATAGCATGGAATAAGCCGGTTCAGGGAATTCTATTTTAACTGCAGCAAGCAACTCTTGCACTTGGCTTGGCTGTATAATGTTTATTCCACCAACAGAACTGCAACTGTAGATTTAGATGTGTTATATAACCAAACCCATTTGGGAGGCGGTTAAATTCCCATTTTAAAAAAGAAGGGGCCTATGAATAAATGTTACAGCAAACTATTTAAACCGACTTTTCTGTATTAAATATGTTTTTGTTGTTTTAAGACCATGGGGGCTGCCTTCCAAAGAAAGTATAAATCCTATGAATAGATGTGTATAAATCCGAAGGGGTTTAAGAATTCGGAAATTTACCTTTGGCTATATAGTATTTATTATGTATTTTCTTTGTAAATGATGGGTTGTGTAATCGTTAATTCGGTTATCAAAGCCTATAGAAACCAGAGTTTGAGATATTTGGCATACAGTATTTACTATATCTATGGTTTAATAATTATTTGCTCATTTCTGTTTTGTAAAATTATATATCAAATATATTTTTGTTAATTTTATTTCTGAAAATAAATTTTTATTTTTATTATTCAAAAGTGTTCTTTAGTTTTTGAATAATTAAAAGTATTTTTTTAAAAAAAAAACAAGAGCGAAAACAGAAGCTATTTTTAAAACGAAATGGAACTTTAGTTTTTACATTTGAAAAATGATTTTAGAGAAAATTATAACTGCAATTTTATTATAATATCATACGCTTATTGTATGATTTAAAAAAATTATATTTTCTATCACGTTATAATTATATTTTATATCTCACCATATTGATTTTTTAGATAGAAGTATTTTATGTTTGATATATTTAAATAGTACTCTGATATTTTTTTATTTATAAAAAGTAGATTGATTTTTTCTATATGTAATATTCTATGTCAAACTTAAATCCCGTATCTGTTCGTATAACAATTAAATTAGCTTTGCAATTACTAAAAAACAATAATAATAGAGTACTTCCAATTCCTGAACCAACTTGACGGCCAATCTCAAAACAATCATTACTACAACAACCATCGTCGTCGTCTGGGAAAACTCACTTCTTTCTGTTGTGTTTTTCTTTCCCAAAATTTTTTCAAGGGATTATGTCAAAGATGTGGACGGATCTACTTTTACAAGGCGCTTTGATTCTCGTTACGATCTTCATGTTCCTCGCTATGCACGATATTCCCAAGAAGATCTTCACCAAAATCCGTTACAGGAATCGAGCTGACTACCAAGCTAAGCGCCACTTCGTCCTCGGAGCCCAGCTCTTAGCTCAAGCCAGATGCTCCAAGTCTCGTTCATCCACCGCCTCTCTAGCCCAAAAAGCCGAATCCGAGGCCGACAAGGCCATTCCTCTCGACCCGAAAGACGCCGCTTCTTACATCCTCAAAGCCCTCGCTCTTGATCTTCAGGGCTTCAAGACCTCTGCTCTTGACTCCCTCGATGTTGCTCTATCCCCTCTTGCTTCCAAGTCTTTGACCAATAAAGAGCGGGGCGATGCGCTTTTCAAACGAGCTGAGTTGATGATGAGCATGAACCGGCGCGGAAGCCGTGTTGACTCAGCGATTGACGATTTGACCAAGGCTGTAGAATTAAGCGGGGATAACGCCAAGGTGTTCTGTCTGCTGGGAGATTGTTACAAAATGAAGAAGATGAAAGCGGAAGCAAGAGCGGCTTTCGAGGAAGCTCTAAAGGTCGAGCCTACCTCCGCCGTTGCTCGCGCTGCCATTGATCGATTGGGATCGTAGTTATTGACGTCAGCTTGTTTCTGACGTCGTCGTTTTAAGATTTTTCTGAATTATGAAAGTGATCGTGCTATTTTGTTGTATTTCACCATTTTGATATGTTTTACTTGATCAAATTGGAAAACAATCTTGATTCCATCATTCCGTGAATCTCCAACCATTTTAATGAAAATAATTTTTTTTTAAATTTTATATTCAAATTTGTATTAAAAAGTATGTATAAAAATACCGAATAGGTCCTCATGTTATCACGCTTAATGCATTTTGATTTTTATACTTTTGTAATAAGTATAAAGAAATTTGTACGGTAAAAATAAGTAAAAGATATATGATATACGTGTTTAATTGATTCTTTATAATTCAATTTAAATCTTTATATTTAATCGATAAAATAAAATATAAAAACAAAATAAGTTAAATGTAATAATTTGAGTCAAATATAAATTAAATATATATGGATAAAAGAAATATTTTGTGTAAAAAGTTATAATTTATAAAATCATTTTAATAATAATTATAAGTGGAGTGATCAAGAATTTATTTAAATTTTATTAAACATGGGTTTGATTGATTGATTCTAATATCATTTTTGTTTACTTAGTTAAAGATTATATAGAAATATAAAAAGATAAAATATATTATGATAGATAATAGTAATTCAAAGTAGAGATAATTTAATAATTTTTAACTGAGCTGATGTTTGATTAATCGATAATATTAAATTAAATTAGTATTTTCGTTTGGTTTCGCCCAAAAAATATTTTAACCCTTTGAAAATTTATAACTTTCATGGGACCTTGAAATATTTTTCCTGGTTTCGTCCTGCGTATAGTCTTACAAGAAGGATATACCCTCACCACATAAAGAACATTTTTTTGGTCTTGTGCGCCAAAGCAACCATTACAGGTATTCTTCAGAACCCTTTTTTTCTTTCTTCTTTCTATCTTTTGTGAAAATATTTGTGGGTCCTTATGAATATGGTTACATGTTCAAGTGATGCCAAAATCCCGGTGGTGATTCACTGAAATTCTGTAAAAATGTGAAATTTCAACATATGAACAATCAGGTGGCAATCCATGTCATTCTCCCACGAGAGAAAAAAAAAGGCATCAACATTAGTACATTAGGCCTTATTCCATGTCGAATATGCTCAACTGCATTAGAGGGCAAACCTCCTTTGGCAGACACCACTTCAAAACCTACTTGTCAAGTTGAAGCTTCAATATAATGTGTTCTTTTACACAACTATTTCAATGAATTAATCCAATCTCCCTCCTTCTTGATTCTGGTGATAAATAGTACTTTCTGTTTCATCTTTTGCCTGCAGATTCTAGGATCTCTAGAAGCAGACCAAAACTGGAAATGTCAGGTCTCAAGCTGATCTTTGGAACAATATGTAGACTTTTGTTTTCCTTGTTAAATTGCTGTTGTATATTTGTTTAGACTGAAAAGATTGGGAGTAAACCGAAGTTTGAATCAAATGAATCTTATGATTACTTCATGATATTGTACCAAAAAATTAAGCTGCAATAAAGCTGAGTTTATCATCTCTGGACTCTGATTGAAGATACTCCTACGCTAATAATTATTCGCAACATATGTTCTTGATCTTCCTTGAATCCTTTGCTCATGGTTTAATCATTTTAGAAGCAAAGATACACGTGGAGTTGAGGTATTATGGAGGATTTATCCTTTGGAAAAAATACCTGTGTTCTTGCATGATTATGTTTTTGCCAAAGGGGATTTGCCCTTCCCATTCATCCACACAGTCATGAGTCAACAGCCTCACATTTGCTACGCTATTTCAACTCTTCAGTTTTCTTACACAATGCTTGGATTAAAGGAAAATAAAAGAGCAAAGTAAAGAAGAAGATTTCATTATTTTGTTTGGATAATTAAAATCAGTAAAAAAAGAAAGAAAGTAATTGCAAAAAAAAAATATTTGGTATAAATAGTGGAAGTAAAAGTAAAAGTAAATTATTAATTATAATAGATTTACAACTACAACCCTTCATAAAACAATATACAAAGAGAAAAAAAAAAGGATAAAGCTGATATTTTACACCTTAATTTTTTTAGACAAATAAAAGTTTAAGGAAAACAAGAGAAACTCAAATTCCTTAGCTTTCTCTTAAAAGAAAGAAAAAATTACCAAGTAGATTAATAGTCATCTTTACATAGGTTGAAAATTTTAAAATGTCAGGTTTCAAGCAGATCTATAAATTAACACAATATGTAGACCTACTTTTCCTGTTAATGTCCTTCACAACCACAAATTTACATTACTTACATGTCCTTCAAATAATGACTATTTTCTATTTGAAGCTTTCCAAAGCTTGGGGACAACTTTAATATTATGATATCGATATATTATTATCACTTAAATTAGTTTTATTATCATAATTGATTTTATTTTCAGTTGAATTGTTACACGAACGAGTGATGATATATAATAGATTGATTTTTTACAGTACTTTTATCATATATCCTCATTGCAAGTGTTAAGGTTTTTAGACTCTCCCTCCCCCCTACGGCTTAATTCCAACCAGACATGGAAGTCTTATGGTCAGGGATGGATCCAAGGAAGGGCGACCTGAATAATAGTCGTCTCCTCTTAAAAATTTTAAATTTTTATATATTTTAGATTTTTTTCTTTATACTTTTAGCGATGATCTATTTTTGCTCCTTAAAATTTTATAAATTAGTTCGCTCTAATATAAAATTATGTGTTCGTTCTTATATAGGGTTATCATTATCTCCTGTGGTCCAATTGCATGAAACATGAGTTAAGTTGACTAAGGGTGAAGGAAATTGGACATTTGGTGCCCCAACCATGTTTCTACTTTCTATTCTGAAATGAGAAATTTCTCCTTCATTAATGCAACGACCCACATTGGAACTTGACTTGGTTAGTCGACTCTCATTGCATTCTAGTTGCCTGAAACTGCTTTAAAAGAAACCCCAAAGAGTTAACTTGGAAACATAAAAGAAGATAAACAGAAAGTACTGATAAGTTTTCTAAAATGGCATCAAAATTGAATGGGTGGAGTTGTTAGGAAATATAACGAGAACAAGTAATTTCCCTATAGCCAGATTAGTGAGAATACGAAATAAAAGCGGAAAAATAATACCCGAAAAATTGATAACGGAGTTCAGCCAATTGTGCTTACGTCTCCGGACTGCTGCAGATCTTTTACTGAAGAGAAAAATTACAAGTGTTTACAAAACACACTTGAGAGAGAACTGGAAGATTTTGGGATGATTTTGAAGCTAAATGAGCTAGGGTATTTATAGTTGAAACTTAGGGACTAATCTTTGAAAATACCCTAAAGTACAATGACTAAATGTGTGATTTACCCTTGCCCAAATTCAACAAAACACAACAGCCCCTATTTTTGAATTCAACCGGCTACCATCTAGAATGGCAGCCATCTAGAATTTCAACAATCTCCCACTTGAAGACTGATTTTAATCTGTCTTCACACCTTGATCGATGCAGCAGTATTTCTGGTCTTTTATTCTAGCATGCCAACTGAAGTTGAACACAACTTCAGTTTGTCCGTAGTCACCGTCTTTGTCAACATGTCTGCCGGATTTTGAGCTCCACTAATCTTTTCAAGTTTCAAAATCCCATCTTCCAGAAGAGACCGGATAAAATGATATCTCAATTGTATGTGCTTTGTCCTGGAATGAAAAGACGGATTCTTTGCTAGATGGATAACACTTTGGCTGTCGCAATACAAGATATTGTTTTCTTGTTTCTTGCCTAACTCTTCCAAGAAACTTTGGAGCCAAACCATCTCCTTGCTGGCTTCCGTAACAGCGACATATTCTGCTTCAGTTATGGAGAGAGCAACTATCTTCTGTAGTTGAGAAACCCAACTCACTGCAGTTCCTCCTAGAGTATAGACATACCCTGTAGTGCTCCTTCTGATGTCGACATTTCCGGCTAAGTCAGCATCTACATAGCCTGTCAGTATCATATCTCCACCTTTGAAACAAAGTGCTTTGTTTGTGGTACCCCGAAGATATCTGAGGATCCATTTGACTGCTTCCCAGTGTACCTTGCCCGGATTATTCATGTACCTGCTAACAGCTCCCACTGCATGAGCAATATCTGGTCTGGTACAAACCATGGCATACATCAGACTTCCAATTGCTGAGGCATATGGCACCTTCACCATGTGTGCACGTTCTTCCTCCGTCTTTGGTGATTGGTCTTTGGAGAGTCTGAAATGAACACCTAAAGGTGTACTTACTGGTTTAGCATCTTGCATGTTGAACCTGGAGAGTACTTTGTTGATGTACTCAGCCTGTGATAACATCAAAGTCCCCGACTTTGTGTCTCTCTTGATCCTCATCCCAAGAATCTTCTTTGCAGCGCCCAGATCCTTCATAGCAAACTGCTTCGATAATTTTTGCTTCAAGTGTATAATCTCTTGCATGTCTGAGCCTGCAACGAGCATGTCATCAACGTACAATAATAAAATAATGAAGCTGTTGTCGAACCTCTTGATGTAGCAACAATGATCTGCTTGGCATCTGATAAAACCACTGCTACTCATGAAGCTATCGAACTTCTTGTACCACTGTCTAGGAGCTTGTTTTAAACCATACAAGCTCTTCTTCAACCTGCATACCAGGTTTTTCTTGTCTGCCTCTATGAAGCCTTCTGGCTGCCTCATATAGATTTCTTCCTCCAAATCACCATGAAGGAAAGCTGTCTTTACATCTAACTGCTCAAGATGTAAATTCTCTGCAGCTACAATTTTCAACACCAGTCTGATTGTAGACAATTTTACGACTGGAGAGAAAATTTCATTGTAGTCAATACCTTCTTTTTGCTGAAAGCCTTTGACAACCAATCTTGCTTTGTAGCGTTTGCTCCCATCGTGCTCTTCTTTGATCCTGTAAATCCACTTGTTGTGGAGCGATTTCTTGCCTAGTGGTAATTCAGCTAATTCCCATGTCTGATTTGACATAAGCGAGTCCATCTCATCTTTCATGGAAGACTCCCACTTGACTGAATCCTCCACTTGCATTGCTTCATCATAGCACTCTGGTTCACCATTGTCAGTCAGCAACAAGTAGTGTAAAGAAGGAGAATACCGTTGGGTTGGTTTAGGAATTCTGGAGGAGCGTCTCAGTTCTGGTGTGCTTGGTTCTTCTTGAACTGCTTCAGGATTGATTTGAACATCATTTCCAGGAATCTCCTCAAACTCAGCAAATTCCTTTGTTTCAGCTTTGGTATTTGAACTACTTGATTCTACAATTGACCTGTCTTTGTACATCACATTCTCATTGAAAATGACATCTCTGCTTCTGATGATCTTCCGATTTTCATAGTCCCAAAACCGGTAACCGAACTCATCACCGCCATAACCAACAAAGGCACATTTGTTAGACTTAGCATCAAGCTTACTTCTTTCAGCAGAGTCTATGTGTACATAAGAAATACAACCAAACACTCTTAAGTGTGAAAGGTTTATTTCTTTCTTGCTCCAAACTTCCTCTGGTATTCTGCCATTCAAAGGAACTGAGGGCCCACGGTTGATCAAGTAAGCTGCAGTGTTGATTGCTTCAGCCCATAGAAATTTGGGCAAGCCGGCATGTATCCTCATACTTCTGGCACGTTCATTCAGAGTTCTGTTCATGCGCTCTGCTACACCATTATGTTGCGGTGTCTTGGGAACTGTTATCTCCATCTTGATTCCATTGTTTGCGCAGAAATCTCTGAATCTACTGTCTCTGTACTCTCCTCCATTGTCAGACCTCAACCGCTTGACTTTCAAACCAGTCTCATTTTCCACCATGGCCTTCCATTTTCTGAAGATATCGAAGACTTCTGATTTCTTCTTCAGAAAATAAACCCACACCTTCCTTGTTGAATCATCGATGAAGGTGACATAATATAGTGAGCCTGCAAGAGATGGAACTGGGGATGGTCCCCATACATCAGTATGAACCAATTCTAACCTTTCTGCCTTGGGTGTCTTGCCAATCTTTGCAAAACTGACTTTCTTTTGTTTGCCAAAGATGCAATCCTCGTATAGTCCGACATCTACATTCTTTAGATCCAGCAACTTCCCTTTTGACAGAAGTATCTTCATTCCTTTCTCGCTCATATGGCCAAGCCTTTGGTGCCATAGGTTTGATTTTCCATCAGCATCTGCTACTGCAATGATATTCTCTAAATTTGAGGTTACATAGAGAGTACCAGTCTTCTTACCACGAGCAATGACGAGTGCTCCTTTGGTAATCTTCCATTCACAGTCTGAAAAGGTTGTACTGTATCCTTCTCCATCAAGCTGTCCTACAGAAATCAAATTTCTTTTGAGACCAGGAATATGTCTCACTCCTGTCAGCTTCTAGGTGGTCTGGTTTGGCAGCTTTAGTCGGATGTCTCCTTTTCCGACGATCTTCAAGGTTTCATCATCAACAAGATGAACCTTCCCAAAATCACCACTGACATATTTCTCCATGATTTCTTGGCATGACGTGGAGTGGAAAGATGCCCCTGAATCCAAGATCCATGATTCAATCGGGCTGTTGACGCTTAGAATCATGGCATCACCTGTCTCCTCTGTCATGTTGGCAGATCCTTGTGCGCTTGTATCTTTCTTCAGTGCTCGACAGTCTCTTTTAAAGTGACCCTTCTTGCCGCAATTATAACAGGTAAAATCTTTATTTCCTGTTCTTGATTTTCCCCTTCTGGATTTCGATCTGCCACGATTTGAATTCCTTTCTGAAGTTCTCCCTCTGGACTCCGTATGCAAGGCTGAGGAGGTTGATGCTTCACCCGATTCTCTCCGTCGAATTTCTTCGCTCAGTACCAGATCCCGAACATCGTCGAATTTTAATTTGCTGTTTCCCGACGAACTGCTGACTGCTGTAACAGTAGCATTCCAACTGTCTGGTAAAGATGATAAGAGAATTAAAGCTCGAACTTCATCATCGAATTCAATTTCCACTGAACTCAACTGGGTTGTGATTGTGTTAAGTTCATTTAGGTGTTGTGCCATCGATGCCCCTTCCGTCATCCGCAAATTAAATAATCGCCTCATCAAATGAACTTTGTTTGAGGCCGATGGCTTCTCATACATACTGGAGAGAGCCGCCATAAGACCCGCCGTGGTCTTTTCCTTTGCTATGTTGAAAGCAACATTGCGGGATAACGTCAGTCGGATAACTCCGAGGGCTTGTCTGTCGAGAAGAGCCCAATCTTCATCCTTCATGCCCTCTGGTTGCTTTCCTGAGAGGGGTTGATATAGATTTTTCTGGTACAGAAAATCTTCGATCTGCATCTTCCAAAAGCCAAAGTCCGCACCATCGAACTTTTCAATTTTCACATTCCCTTCGTCTGCAGCCATCGCTTCCACTCGAATCTGGCTTCTTTGAATCGTTTTTGACAATTTCTGCGAACCGCCGTGTATTTGAACACCTCCGTCGACAAATTCGTATCGCCGACAAAATTTCACTATTCACGAAATTCACTATTCACGTGAATAGTAACCCGCAGAAAAAATTGGCAAAATTCACAACCAAAAGCTCATGATACCAGTTGTTAGGAAATATAACGAGAACAAGTAATTTCCCTATAGCCAGATTAGTGAGAATACGAAATAAAAGCGGAAAAATAATACCCGAAAAATTGATAACGGAGTTCAGCCAATTGTGCTTACGTCTCCGGACTGCTGCAGATCTTTTACTGAAGAGAAAAATTACAAGTGTTTACAAAACACACTTGAGAGAGAACTGGAAGATTTTGGGATGATTTTGAAGCTAAATGAGCTAGGGTATTTATAATTGAAACTTAGGGACTAATCTTTGAAAATACCCTAAAGTACAATGACTAAATGTGTGATTTACCCTTGCCCAAATTCAACAAAACACAACAGCCCCTATTTTTGAATTCAACCGGCTACCATCTAGAATGGCAGCCATCTAGAATTTCAACAGGAGCAAGGATATTTATGGCTTTGCTCTTCTTGGAGCGCTTCTCTATGTTATCTTAACCACGTGTTTCCATGGTTTCCATTACAATTTACAGGAAAACACCCATGTCAACAACTCAGGCGAGTGCAAAATTTTCACTGTTTTTTTCCTTGTAAGTTTTTTATTTAAAAGTCGAATACTTGATTTGCAGTTGAAGGGCAAGGTTTAGTGGGACGAAGCATAAGCGATGGGTTTACAGCACTGGCAATCCAGTTTCTCCATTTCTTGGTGGCGAAATCATTGCAGTTCAGATATGTCCCGGTGCTGCCGCAGCCGATTCCTTTTACGTCAATGACATTTTGGCTGGCATTTACGGGATCAATCTCATACCAACCTCTGTGATCAAAATTTGTAGGCATGTCTGTATTTTCAAGGATAAAGAAACAAGTTTTCTACATGTTTATTTCCATTATTATTCCTTCTCAAGTTGTTCTGCAGTGAACTGATTAAGCTTTAATTATTCATAATTGATTAAACTTATTTGTCATATTCTTTCGAGATTACCAAGACTCAAATCTGCAACTAACCAACCCTTTTGTTTATATTTTAATGTCATACACCTAAGCAATGTGATATTAATTAATTAAAATAGTAACAGATAATACTACATATATATTGTTATACTTTTATATGACAAACCAACCACCAAATGCCGAGGAAGTGAAGATAAAGACCCACGAGCAGACCACATCTCAATTTGAGAAGATTCCTGCTAGTGATCAAGAATAATTAAATATTGTTAATCAAACATAAATCATCTTATTAACTCAGCTTATGATATATATACAATTTTTTTCCTGTTGTGGGGCTTTGAAAAATAATCAGCAAACACGAATAGGCGTGTTGATTTGAAACAATCAAACTTTGCAAGCACATGGGAAATGAAAAGTTTGGGGTCCAAGGAAATTTCAGTTGACAATGTATCCTACAAAACAAAGAAGTTAATGGTTGACTTCGTGCTTTGCAAGTTTAGAATCAATATTCGTATACTGTAAGATTAATATAACATAACCATACACCATAGTGAAATATTTTTTAGTATATTAAAATTAATAAACTCACTGCTTTCGACTTTTCATTGAATGGTATTTGTTAATAATAAATGAACCATGATTCATCAAGCGAACTCGGCTTCTAACTCAAAAGTATATAAATATCATGGTAAAGGCACAAGTGTTTACCGTTTTCGTTTCTATCGAGTGTTATTTCAGAATAAGCCAGAAGTTCAATATAAATTGTGAGAAAAGAGAAGTAGCTCTTGGTGAGTTATAATGGCGTCAAAGTTGAAAAACATGAACAAAGATATAATCATCTTCGTGGCCTTGCTTGGGCTGATTCTTGGTGTCTTTGCTCGATCGTGTGTTCAGGGGCCGCAGAAGAGTTTGGAGGAAGAGAACAAAAGCTATTTCCGACAGCAGTTCGGTGAGTTTAATGTTTCATGCTTCATAAACTAATTAACTTGACTCTGTCTACAAATACGATTTGGTATAATTTTGCACTAACATTTTGCTATTGTAAATGGGATTTGCAGATAAAGTTTGCAGTGATGTGCGTAGAAAAATTGAGGATGTCTGTGTCACGTTAACAATAAAATTTATCCATTTCTTGGTTTCGAGATGGCTGCAGTTGAGATATTTACCAGCATTGTTCCCTGCGCCTCGGATCACGTGTTTGTTGTTTTGGGTAGCGTTTACCGGATCAATCTCATCCTTGCCAGATAACCCTCTGCAGTAACTGTTGATTCATTTTTGTTATCTGCATTAGCATTTATAATAATGAAGACCTACTAGAGTTCCCCATCCACCCTATCCCTTCCACACAATTTGCAAATTTGCAAAATTCGCATGATGTCTGTAAGTAAAGAAGAATAAATAAATAAAACCTACTAAAGTTCCCGATCCACCCTATTCCTTCAATCCTTCCACACAAGTTTCTTTTATACGTCACATCTTAATGTAAGGATAAAGTACACAAATGATCTCATAAAATGACTCATAGTGTTATTTTATTAAGTTTTCGACTATTAAAAGTTACAAAATGATCACTTGACTATTGTTATATTATAGACTCGTCCTTTTATGTTAAAAATTTGGCGGATATCTGAGTTAGACATTAACATGATGATTAAGATATGATAAAATCATATTTTAATGATATCTACTGACAACATCGTTGCTTTCAATAGTCGAGGAAATCAACATAATAACATCTTATAACCAAGACACCATTCATATACTTTATCATCAATTTAAATATTAAATGCTGATTAAAATCTCGCATGAAACTAATAATTAAAATCTCGCATGAAACTAATAAAATTATAAATATATTTATATTATAAACAATTTTACTTTAATGTGTTAAAAAGTAAATAATGTTATGAAATGTTAATAATAATTTTTTTGATATGTTAAATATAAATTGTTCTTTCGATAACTATATAATATATTTGATGCACATGTTTTAAATATTTTATGTTAAATAAAAAAATTTACATTATAGTTATGTCAGATTATAATTTTATTATTTATAGATCTATATTACCTTATAATTATTTTAGATTAATGTGTCGTTTTCCCTAGATTTTTCTTAATTTTTTTCTTCTTGCGCTGCTCTCCCTTTTATAATTTTGCTTAGTCGGCGGCAACACTAAACTTAGTGTTGACTGTCGACCGTAAGTGCTTCTTATTTTTCATTTATTTTTTTATATTACATCTTTATTTTTCTTTTGATTTTTTGTTTCCAATAACACTACCTTTGCGGCATGTTTTCTCTGTCTTTATGACATGTTTTCTTCTATCTTTTGACACGTTTTCGGTTGTTTGGTTGTTTTTTCGTTTCTACCTTTTCTCATGATTGAATTTGATGATGTCTCGACTGATCAAGATGTCGTTTATTTATTATTTTGATGATCTTCCTTACTTTAGACCTTCTATTGTATTGGGATACGTGGTTGCGTTCATGGATAGTTTTTCATGTCGTTCGACTTTGATATGCGATTTGTCTGTGGTATTTCAGTAGTTTTCATCATCTTTTGTAATTCTTTTGTCGATGCAGACAGATCTATTCGTATCTATCTTTGTTCGAATATTTTAGTTGAGTTTTTAACATTTTTCTTATATGTTTATTGTATGATCTCCAGTGGCTAGTTTCTTATGTCAATGATTATAGGAAAATATTTTAATTATATATTTATTAACGGTTATGGTTATAAACATTCATTGTAATTTTTAGTATTCTTCTTTTAATAAAACTAATTGCTTCTATTAAAAAAATATGTCAAATTAATAAGGAAAAAACTTAACGTTTAAATAAATAATAGGCTTAAATGCACCATTACAATTTAAAATATGTCATTTGTATCGAGTTGTCTCCTAAAATATTTTTCGAGACATTTTATCCCCTAAAATTTAAATTATTATTTCATTTACCTCAAACCATTAACTTTATTTAAAAAGCCAATAGTAAATTACATTTTAATGACTCAATTATTCTTACAGTTCCGTTTTAATCACCTAGTTTTTTTTTTTCAAAAGCATCATTAAATTTAAATTTATTATGTTTTGGTCACCCAGTTCGATTCAATTTATTTTTTAAATTTGTAATATCGTTGATATCACAAATCGAGGTTCTTTGAAGACGATGGAACGGTACTCCTCCGTAGCAACAACGGCCATCTCATCCAACAATGCACGCCATTCTTGTTTCCGTGGGAGTATACCATGCTAACGCTGGAGTGTTCTAAAGCACAGGCGTCGCTCTCCGAATGATTGCTCCATAACTTCACCTTGATCTGTAACCCGAAGTGACCCATGAATAGTGTCTGGTGGTTGAGATAATAAAGGAAGATGAGAGGGACCACCTCCTCTGCCAACAGTTCACGCCAAATAGCTTGGCAACCTTGATAAGCTCCTCTTGAGCTTTGTATAATTGCCAGGCACTGTAGACAAGTTTCATGTGGTTAGTTGGGGCTATATGGTATGATTTCAATGACACCATTAAAGAAGACAAGCTACACACTGGAAGCAATGAGATATAGAAATAAATTCAATACTAGTTTATTATTTACATTATAATATTATTTTTTATTATATATTAAATTTATATATCAAATAAAAATATATATAATACAGATAATTTTTTATATACTACAAATTTGAAAAATAAATCGAAATGAATTGAGTGATTAAAACGGAACAAAAACTTAAGTTAATGATAATTTAGAAGAAAAAAATATAGTTGAGTAACCAAAATAAAACCATAAAAATAATTGTGTGATTAAATATATAATTTATCATTGTTATTTCTAATGGATTTAATGATTTAAGATAAACGAAATACTAATTTAAATTTCAAAAAATAAAATATCTCAAAAAATATTTTAAAAACAATTTAATATAAATAACATACTTTTAAGAGACAATAATCATGGTTATTAAAACCGAACCGGATCGGTCGCTTCAATCGGTTGATCCGTGAATCGGTGGCCTGTCCGGTCCGGTTACCTCACAAAACCGGTCTGGTAATGAACCGGTTGAAAATCGGGGTGAATCGACTTAAAACCGACAAAACTGGTTTGAACCGCCAGTTTACTTTTTTTATTTAAAAAAATAAACCAAACGATGCCGTTTGTTTAACGAGCCAAGTCAAATTCGAGTATTACCAAGCTTGACTCGAACTCGAAAACTTTAAAAGTAAGCTCAGCTCAACTTAAAAACTCACGACCTAAAAATTATCAAGTTCAACTCGAACTCAAAATATAATATTAAAACTTGAACTCGAAAAGGCTCGAACTAAAAAAAAAATTATAAGTTCGATTAAAGCCAAAAATTTGAGCTCAATTGAAGCGAAAGAATAGTTCGCTCTGTGCTCACCAAAAGGCTCCATGATTTTGAATGTCAAATTATCTCTATTATTTATAGAAGTAAGTTGGGATGCTCTTCTATGTTTCTTAGCCATGTGGGATTGTTTTGTTCTCATATTTTTACTCTTTAAACTTTTGGGAAGCTCTTCTATATTTCTTAACCATGTGGGATTATTTTTTTTAAATTAAATTAAATGACATCATTTGTTATGATTTTTTTAAGTCTCAATTTTATTTTTTATTATAGTTATATAATTATATTTATTATTTAATATGTTTTACCTTAAATATTATGTTGTAGTTGATTTGAATCATTTTGTTTCACTTGATTTTATGGTTTTAATTTATATATGTTATGACTTGTAATATTTTTATACCTTTTAATATTGTAAACTTAAAAAAAGTATTACATATATATTAATATTACTTTGAATATTATATAAAATTAAAAAAATATTATTTTATATAAAATTTGGTTCAATCGTGATTAAACTCGATTGAATCGGTGAACCAATATCTTCACCGGTTCAATTTTCGATCCGATTTTAAAAACATTGACAATAATACATGTAAGTCTAGATAATAAGGTTGATGAGCTTTTTGCATTTGTCAACGGCTGCACTATCATAATGAGTAGGATGGACTGCAGAACAGAGAAACACTCCCACAAGTTTTTTCCTCGTAAAAGAGGGCATCTCTAAAAAGTTTTTTTTTCTTTTAAAGAAAAATAAATACAATTAAAACCCGTACGGACCTCTCGTTTTGCTCTCGTCTAAATTTTCTTGTCAAGCTCAGCTCTCTCTATCTCTCTCTGGGCCCCTCTCCCAAAACAAAAACTTTCAACTCCACCATCTGCAAGTATCACAAATCTCGCCCCGAATCTTCCAAATTTTTTCAATAAAGAAAAATTAATTACTTCATAATTTTTGAAAATTTTGGGGGTTAAAGATGAGTTCGAGCTCGGATTTGGTGGGTTTTGTTGAATCTGTATTGGGAGTGTCGTTAGGCGGTACGGTAACGGATTCCATGATAGTGATCGCTACGACGTCGTTGGCGGTGATTCTGGGGCTTTTGGTGTTCTTCTGGAAAAAATCAGCTTCTGAACGCAGCCGTGATGTGAAACCGTTGGTAGCTTCTAAGCCTGTTTCACTTAAAGATGATGAAGATGATGACGCCTTAATTGCTGCCGGTAAAACTAAAGTTACCATTTTCTACGGCACCCAGACGGGGACAGCTGAGGGATTTGCTAAGGTAAGTAAATTAGTAACCGTAAAGTTCTGATTTTGATTGCCGAGTGTGGTGATTTGATTGATTTGTTGAAAATGTAAGAGTTTTGACTGCTGACTACTTGAGGGAACTGATGCCTCTTTTCTTGGATGAAAATCGTAAGATAACTGATGTCAAAACTATTAATTTAGCTTATTATTTAGTCACTAATTCGTTGTGGAAAATTCGGTTGCTGATATAACTAATTGCACGGACAGAACTGAATTAAGAAGCAGCAAAGGGATTTGGAAATGATTTCTTTCAAACTTGATTCATTATGAATAAAGTTAGGGTTAAAGGCAATATTTGATGTTTACTGCCCTTTCGTATGCTTTCCATCATTTCTGGGAGCTTAACTGTAAATAATGAATTTCTTATTCATAGGCCATTTATTGGTGGTATGTATTCGCTATGTGCTGTGTCAGTAGCTTTCGTCACTCAGAGCTTAAAGAAATTGGGATATGGCTAGAGATAGAAACCTGGCATCAATAGTTCTTGGTAGTTCTGCAAATTGTGGCTGATTTAGCTACCTGAGGAGTGTTTTATTGTCCTTTTTTTCTGTTAGTCGCTGTTACACTGGGCAAAAAATTGATGTGTGCTTGGCACGTGGTGCTGCATGATTGGAACAAGCCCCTATTTTAATTCAAATTTTAATTTTTTATATGAGAATTTTATATTGCAGGCTTTAGCAGAAGAGATCAAGGCAAGATATGAGAAGGCAGCTGTAAAAGTTGTTGACCTGGTAATGTACAGGGAACCATGTTGCTACTTTGTTTTCTTGCATGAGAACGTGTTCTAGCGTTTACAATTATGACCATTAATTTGTGTATGTTTCATGTTAGGATGATTATGCTGTGGATGATGAACAATATGAAGAGAAACTCAAAAAGGAAACTTTAGCCTTTTTCATGGTTGCCACGTAAGCTAATTCTCGCTTCTGTTGGCTCTTTTCTTGGTTATTCTTTTGGCATTATATACAGCCTGGGGTATTTAATATAGTTGACTGTGATTGTAGTTATGGTGATGGGGAACCAACTGATAACGCTGCTAGATTTTACAAATGGTTTACTGAGGTTGGTTACTACTTGAAAAGAACATTCAAATTTAGACCTTGTATTATACTGGCTTTGCCATTTTTTTGTTATTTAACGCTCATAACTATGCTGTTTTATTCTACTTCAGGGAAATGAAAGGCAGCCTTGGCTTCAGCAACTCACGTATGGTGTCTTTGGTCTGGGTAACCGTCAATATGAACATTTTAATAAGGTAAACCACACAGAGACATAGGACCCAACCACTGAACAAGGCAATCAAGAGCATTTAATTTGCTTTGATTGCTTGTTTTTTCTCCTTTACAATTGTTTAATCTAGTTTGATGGTCTTTTCTGGAAGTAGATCGCAAAGGTGCTTGATGAGCAACTTTCTGAACAAGGTATTTTTCTGTCTTGCTTTGAGACTCAACCCTTCTGATCTAATTGATGGCATTGTTCTTACTAATGAGTCATGACTATGGAGTCAAAAATTCAAGGTTAGGTGCAGATTGGGAGGTTCAGGATGAAAATTTACTCAAGGTTTTTTGGGTATCATACATATAAGCATATCCCTTGTATCTTTTAAAATTGCTTCGAGCATAAAGAGTTGGGAAAATTGATTTTATGATTGAGCTATATATCATTTCTTTGAAAGGAAACAAATGGCTGATAGCTTGTCCTATGCTTTTTTTGCATCTAATTTCACTGCCAACAAATTGAGGGAATGGCTGATAACTGGATGACTTCTTCCTGTGCAAACAGGTGCTAAACGTCTTATAAATGTTGGTCTTGGTGATGATGATCAATGTATTGAAGATGATTTTACTGCATGGTATGCCATCTTCTTTCAGAGGTTCTCTGTAGCCGTCACCCATCTAATTGTCTCTCTCAAACGATTCTGGTGCCTTTTTTTTTATTGAAGCTGAAACATGATCTTACCGATGTGATGAAGAAGTTTGCTTGGGACTGTACTTAAATTTTGTGCTCTTTTAGCTTTATTTAATTGTTTTTTTTTTATTATAACCTTTTAATTCATCCCTTAGGAGAGAATTGCTTTGGCCAGAGTTAGATCAATTGCTTAGAGATGAAGATGATGAAAATACTGCCTCTACCCCATATACAGCTGCTATCCCTGAATATAGAGTAGTGATTCATGATCCTGCTATGATGCACATCGAGGATGATTACTCAAATAAGGCAAATGGGAATGCTTCATATGACATCCACCATCCATGCAGGTAAGAGGAGGTTAATGTGATGGTTTTCAAATCCTGTTTCCTCATGCTTTTATTTCCTTTCTGAGGACACTCTTACATGATTTGTGCTCAGGGTTAATGTTGTTGTTCAGAAAGAGCTGCACAAGCCTGAATCTGATCGCTCCTGTATACATTTGGAGTTTGACATATCAGGGACTGGGATCACGTTAGTTCACAGCTTGTAGTTTTTGTTACCATAAATCCTCAATCAATTTTCTGTGGAAGTATTATTAGTATTGCTGTGTTTAAGTGCTTTTGGCCCCTTGGATTTACAAGAATAGATAATTTGGCTTATGATTTATGACCTTATACTCTTCCAATAATAAGTTCATCTGTCCCAGATATGAAACTGGAGATCATGTTGGTGTTTATGCTGATAATTGCATTGACACTGTTGAGGAAGCTGCGAGATTGTTGGGTAAACCTCTGGATTTGATATTTTCTATACACACTGACAATGAGGATGGTACACCCCTTGGAAGCTCATTGCCACCACCTTTTGCCAATCCATGTACACTTCGAACGGCATTGGCACGATATGCAGATCTCTTAAACCCACCACGGAAGGTAAACCACCCCCTTCAGATTATTTCTTTTTTCTTGAATAGAAGGAAAACGTTTCCAGCTGATTTCTGCCTTATTTTTGGGTCGCTTTTTTTGCTTAAGTAATTGGTTTCTTTGTTTCAAAACTGTTTTTTTGTGGTTAGGCTGCTTTGATTGCCTTGGCTGCTCATGCCACTGAACCCAGTGAAGCTGAAAGGCTTAAGTTCTTATCATCACCGCAGGGAAAGGTTGATAAGCGTGCAGTTGTTTTCATCCTTTTGTCTGCTCATGTTTTATGCTCTTGTTTCTTATGTTCTCTTCTCCCTTTTAAACATGTCACTTTTTTCCCAGGATGAGTACTCACAATGGATTGTCGGCAGTCAGAGAAGTCTTCTTGAAGTTATGGCTGACTTCCCATCAGCAAAACCTCCTCTTGGTGTATTTTTTGCTGCAATAGCTCCTCATTTACAGCCTCGTTATTATTCTATCTCATCCTCCCCTAGGTTATTGAATTTATATTGTCTATTTTACCCTGGTGCAGTATTACCTATAACCTTATATTTATACGAAGGTTGGTTGCTCTGAGCAGGTTTGTACCCCACAGGGTTCATGTAACTTGCGCTTTAGTTTATGGTCCGACTCCAACTGGAAGAATTCACCGGGGCGTGTGTTCAACATGGATGAAGGTAGTGATTATATCTCTTTTGTTTCTATGCCCTTTCCTTTCTAATAATTCATTCCTTTTGTCTTTTATGCAAATCTTGCTGATACTTGCTATTTGCTAGAGAAGTTATTTAGGCTTTACTGACACATGACACCGAACTGTAATGAAAAAAAAATCAGAATGCAGTTCCGCCGGAGAAAAGCAATGATTGTAGCCGGGCTCCTATTTTTATAAGGCAATCTAATTTTAAGCTACCAGCAGATCCTTCAATTCCAATTATCATGGTTGGACCTGGGACTGGATTGGCACCTTTTAGAGGATTTCTACAGGTTTGTTACTTTCTGTTTTACGGGTTTCTTTTATTTTGCAAAAGGAAGAAAATAATGTGCAATTAATTGCTTTTTGCAGGAAATAATGGTCCTTAAAGAAGATGGTGCAGAACTTGGTCCATCTATACTCTTTTTTGGATGTAGGAATAGGCGAATGGTTAGGATTCTATTCTGATACTAATAACTTTTTAGCAACGATGTCAGCATGTCTTTCTATAACTGGCTTTCATTGTTAGATATTTGTAGTTAGGATTCTATTTATTACTTTCTTGGCAACTTTTGCAGGATTTCATTTACGAGGATGAGCTCAATAACTTTGTTGAACGAGGTGCCCTGTCTGAGCTTATTGTTGCATTCTCGAGAGAAGGGCCACAAAAGGAATATGTTCAACATAAAATGATGGGTAAAGTAAGTACTAGTTGTCGGAAAAACAGAGGTTCTACTCAGTGATATGAAAGTGCTGTATTATAACATATGCTGCTTTTGATTACAGGCAGCACATATATGGAACCTAATATCTAAGGGTGGATATCTTTATGTATGTGGTGACGCCAAGGGCATGGCAAGAGATGTTCATCGCACTTTGCACACAATTATTCAGGAGCAGGTATGATCATCGTCTCTTTCTATTTTTTCCTTATATTGCCAGAAATCTTATAATTTTAATAAGTTTTTCAAGAATTCATGTAATGACAATCGAACTGTTTTACAATCACTACATCCTGGGAGTTTGTCTTTTCATAATTAAATTCATCGTCCATTCATGAACTTCCAAAAAAACCGTCTACAAATTTCAGGAAAGCGTGGATTCATCAAAGGCAGAGTCTATGGTAAAGAAACTCCAGATGGAAGGACGATATCTTAGAGACGTTTGGTGATGGCTGCTCATTTTCATTTTATCCATAGACCAAGATGGTGATGAATTTATTTCATCGAGATTTCTTTCACCAGTTCCTGCGAGTAAAAACAGCCAATTTGACAGTGATAGCAGAAAGCTAAACTGTTTTTCATATTGTAAGAAGAGGCTTCAATTGCAAGATGTTAATCTACCTTGTTTTTTATTTTAAACTTAATTAATACTCTTAAATAGAAGGCTCATTTATTTTTGGACTTGCTCTTTCATTTAAAGTTGCTATAGGGGAACAGTGGGCAGCTAGTTACAGAGGATGTGAACAAAGTAGTCAAAGCTGTTTGTAGGTTATTTTTTCGATTTATCATCCTAGTGTTTGTACTGAAATAAATTTGTGAAATAAAACTGGATGCTTTTCGCGCTTGTTATCACGGTTACTTTCTCAAGTATGCACATATAAATTATTAGGTTGAAACCCGAAAAATGTATGTTTTGTTGGCTTTGTTATTTTTTTATATAAATAAAGCAGGAATTAAATGAGAAAAATACATTGTTTTATTTAAATGAAAACTACGTTGACGTTTTATTTTTACCCGAAATGTGTTTGTCCGAAAAGAAATGCATGACAGCGGGAGCGTTAAGCATTTTTTTGGCTGAACGTTATTCCGCAAATCAAGGCGTAAGATTGCATATCAATTACTCCTCGTCAATGAAGTACACAACACAAGCCCAATCAATTTCATCCGTCTTTTTTAACTGTTAAGCAACGTCAAATCACTCAACGCTTGTCAAGAATTCCAACTTTTCACGTTGGACCCTCTCTTTTACACAACCGAAGAATTCAAAGCCCAAGAAAATAAAGATGAATGCAAGCTGTTAGTGACAGTGTAGTGGTGAAAAAGGTACCCATTAGTAGCGACTTTACCAGTTAACGGCGGCGGTTCTCTTTCTCTTCTGAGCTTGCTGTTGGAGCAGGGGCAGCTGGCTCCTTGTTGTTGGATTCATTCTGTTGATCAGCATTTCTTTCTCTCAGTAATTTGCTTCCAGTTGATCTCATTGCCCTTGGTAACTTCAAAGGGATGGCATCAGATTCACTTGGGCACAAGTTATCTGCTGCTGCAATTTTGACAGGTTCATGAGTTTCTGGCTTTTCAGGTGCTGCAGCTGCAACAGTCTCTGGCGTAGCAACTGGAACCAGTTGAATCATTGATTTTCCCCATTTCTTTCTCCGATTAGGCCTTGGTGCATCCGGTTTAGCCTGTCAAAAAATAATCAAGCTCACTATCAAGACATGATTATGCTAAACGATCATGTAACCTAGACTTGAGTGTCAAACATGTCTGAATATGTTAGATATGGATATTTTAAGAAAAATGAGGTTTCTTTATCATACAAGAGACCAAAAATGGTACCACTGTGTTTCCAATGTCAGCGAGTGCTTTTCGCTTTGTAGGGCAGTCGTCGTTTGTTTCAGCTGGCATCTCACCACCAAATGCATTCTGAAGAAGCATTGCACCATGAGCGACGAGGTTGTTGGTTTCATTAGAGTCACCATCGTTTGCAACGTTTGCTTCTTCTCTATTTGAACACTTGACTGAAGAGCAACCGCATGACTGCCCACAGGAACTTCCGTTTGCTCTACATTGGCATTTCGATGTTTTGCAAGAAGACTGCTTACTGCAAGTGCAACACATCCCATCAATTTTCTCAGTAACCTCATCACTACATTCCTTGTTTTCTAAGGCATTGGTATCTGGTTGATGCACTGCCAAAATCGAAGTTCTAGATCTAGAAGCTCTTTTCCGTATCTGCTTTTTGTCCGACTGCACCCATTCGTCGTCGTCGTCGTCATGTGCCTCTATATCTGAATGTTCGGATTCAGATATATCCATGTCCTCCGTAAAGATCACAGAGCTTCGATGTTCCTATACAATAGTTCTACTTTAAGTAACAAGTAGATGGCAACAGAAAGTTAAAAGCTGGCTAGTGGATTTTACCGGGTTCCGCAACTCATACTTATGTCTTCCGCCATTGAAGTCAGGGATGCCGGGTTCCATGGTTTCTTTCATGGGATGCTTAGCGGTTACATTCTGTTGCAAGATTAATAAATAGATTCAAAACTCGATAGATATATAAAGGAGAACATGGAACAAAGAACTCGACTCAATTTAAAAATCAATTTTTTTACTCAACTCGAATTAACTTCGAATTGTAATTTCATAAACTCGACTAAAAAACAATTTAAGTTCAAATCAAGTTATAAAATACAACTTGAATAACTCAAATAGTAACTCGAATAGTAACTCGAATAACTCAAAAAATTTAGTAATTATTTTTTTCTATAAAAAAGAAAACCTCGTTAAAAAGCCCCTTTATAACCGTCAAATAACAATAGTGATTCAACGGACATTAGAAGAAAAAAAAGTATCTTAAAATTTTATTACATAAATACCAAGTGCAATAAAAATACACTTCCACCAAAAACCATTGGCAACCAACTCAACACTGTGCTGCATTGCACTACATAAACGCATCAATGATCATACCCTACTCAAAAACTAACTACTAAATTTACTCGACCAAATGCCAACAAATCACAATGACAAAAAAAACCAACAAACCCAAATACAACAAACTCAACGCCACAAAAAAAAATCCCATCCAATTAGCCCATCTCCAATTTGGCAAATTCTTCCAATTAGTAGAGCACAAGGTTCTTAACCTTGAGATCGTGGGATCGAGTCCCATGGAGGGCATTTTATAATTTGGAGATCTCCTACGGAAGCTGCTCTCAATCTAGTGTTGGGGCAGCCTACTATCTTACCTCCCCTTACCCCATTACATATGGAAACAAGGGAAAAAATAAATAAATAAATAATTTTTTAAGTTTAAGTCGAGTCCCTAGACTCTGTAGGATATATGTATATCACATATGGGGAAAAAATATGAAGAAATATATATGTATTGTATATGGTTGTAAAAAATCATTTAAATTAGAATAAAATAGTATCATAATATTATAAATATTTACAATTAAATATAAACAGAAACTTTAATCGACTCGACTCGACTAGAAAAAATTCAAATCTAGTTTGAGTTATAAAATAGAACTCGTCAACTCGCAATTTTTTTACTTGACTTGATCGAACCCTCACCCTTACAGAGAACTGATAATAATCAACAGACATGTATCAGGTGATACCTTCAAATTGAAGTTAGATTCAATACCAATAGAAAGATTACTAACCTTCACTTTCAGTTGATGAACAAGACCGACCTTTTGTGCCTCAAGTTGTCGAGCCAAGCTACTAACTTTCACTACCTTTTCCTTTAGATCTCTTATGTCCTCATCCTTTTCTTTGCAAAGAATCTCCTTATCTCGCAATGAACACCTCCAAAGAAGGGACAACAAGTTATTAATTGAAGCAAAAAAAGAAGCAAGATCCATGATGGTTAACAACTATGGTAACAAAAGCAAAAGACTGCAGCAAATCAAATTAGTTGAAAAATGAAAATGGATCTATTAGCATGCAAATTTTCTATTTCAAAAGATGCATTACCTTGAGATCGAAGCTAAATTGAATAGGTAATTCATAATATTTTTTGCATCAGCGAGAGACCGGACATGATTCCAACGTCCTTTTCCACTAAAAATACGCTCGCGCTCTTCAGCTTCAGACAATTGTGAGGCCATAGATACCAGAGTGCTAGATGTAGCAGCAAGCATGTTTTCTAGAGCAAAAATCCTCGAGTTTCTTGCACCGGGGGACAATGTCGCAGGACAATTTCTGCATTTGATAGCATTAAAGGAGGTATTTTATTTACTAGTTTACATGATAATATGTAGAAAAAAGAGAACTATTTTAAATTATGAAGAACATATACAAAAGCAAAAGCTCTAACCTTAAATCACTGCGCTTAAGTATCTCAGATTCTTCCGTCAGTCTTGCAACCTCCTTGGCCATCTTGGCCCTCCTATATAATACATACAGAATATTATTTAATAGATTCAACAATATTATAGTAAGCGTACCATAAGAAGACTCCACTTCCTGCTCAGAATCTTATGTATCAAAATTCCTTAATTAAAACAATCTTTCCCTGCCATCAAGAGAACTCACTCTTCCATTTGTCGTTCATATTCAGAGCGTACTTCATGTACCCGTACTGTCACCTCTAATTCATGCTCAATCGTCTGCATTATTGCCTTCAAAAGAAGAAAAGTATGTTACAAAAAGAAGAATCGCTTAAGAACATGCATAAAAAAGAAAAGGAAATTGAAATATAACCATTCATGACGAAGATATGTTTAGACCAAAACTAATTTGTCTAAGCAATTTGGAACAAACTATTAAATTCTTTTTGCAGTTATCAATACCTGAACTCCAGGACCATTGCCATTTCCAGCACCTGCACATGAAAAATATATTGTCATCGAGTTATAGTTACAAAAATACAAAACTAAACAGCAAGTCATAAAAGGGCTCCTAACTGGAAGCTTCACGTGAGAAAGCCTTTCGAGATTCAAGAAGTTCCTTTAGCCTTTTCGTAGCCATAGCAGCCTCTTCGGTCTTTCTTTGCAAAACCTAACACACATAAGCATCGTATGAGAAAAGTTCATTGGAATTAGAAAGATCAAAAGCTTTCTGTGTGGAAGTAAATGTTACCATCTTTTGCCTCTGGTTCAAGGCCAAGAGCTTGTGCATCTCAAACTCATTTCTCCTGCCCTCTTTCTTAAGCTAGTTATCAAGCAAAAGAGACAATAATTATACATTGATAAAAAGAAGTGTTGCTTGAATTATATAAACTATAAAACTCCCAGAATTTTAAAACGAAGCACATATTATTTGCATTCAAATTTCTTTCTTCAAAGACGTGTCAACACAAAATTTCGACCTAGTGCTGACTGTAAGTCTTGAGAACTAGTAACAATTATATTCCCTCTAGCAATTATTTTTACGCAAAAGGAGCACTACAGCTCAAACCTAAGATCTCTACTGCACATCCCACCAATACCACTTGGGCAAGCCGAGTGATACAATCATTTTTAATTTCAAACTAATATGATTCTGTAATCACAAAGAGTACATACCACCAATATAATTTTTTCAATTATCAAATGATACTAGCTGCCAAAAGTATATAGATTAAAGAGTTGCAGCCAATAAAAAATATCTACTACTAACAAAACCATGAATTAAAGTATGCCCAAATTTTGTGAAATTTCTTACAAACAACATATATCCCATAACAAAACCATGAACCAAACATGCAAATTGTATTACTTGCTTACAAAGATGCAAATTGTAATCTCATATTTGTAAGTACCTGAAGAACCTCTTTCTCTCGTGTTGCTTTCCATAA